GCCCCTGAAGTGGAAGGAAGGCACGATTGACACTAGACGCTAACTTAACGTTGACGTTGTGCAGTGCCGCAGCCACAGCCACTAGCTGGCATCTCGAAACGTCGCAGCTTCTCTTCGCATAAAACAAACCACTCTACACTTCTGGATTACCTATCGCGACTCGCACATGCTCGCCACCACCGCGCCGAGTCGGGTCCACTTCTCTCGTTGCGTTTTTGGAAGGAAAAGGGAAAAGGGAAAAGAAAAAGGGAAGGAAGAAGGGAAGATCCATCTGGATTCGGAGTGAACACCTGAAAACTCTTTTCCTGGGCATCATCAGCAGCCAGCGACGAGCGCAGTGCTTGTTTCAGCAACCGGAGAGGCGGTGGGGCAGGCGGAGATATGTTTGTTTTCGCTCACGCCGCCGCCCGCAACCATCCGGAGAAAAACTTGTGCATAGGGGTGGCCCGGCATGTCGTGCGACTCTTCAAACATCACATCAAATCTCATCTGCTTGGCAGCGTGGATTCACATTCACATTCACCGTCGAGATCCGATCCATCGCGGAACCGTCACCACCGCCTACCGCCTCTCAGGTACCGCCTTGAGTTAGAGCTGATGCATTCTTCCGGCACGATGTCCCTCACTCAATTAATTAACGCGCTTTTCTTGCGACAAAAACCAGTGATCCTATGATATGCGCCAATCGTTCTCGCGATGTTATTAGATGCTGTTTCATGAAGATGATGGAGATGCATCGGCTACTTCCCCGCCCCGGTGCTGGCACAGTGCTTCATGTCACTATGGATGATGCATTGGTGCCCGTCCGTCCGTGCGGGTCCGAGAACTGGGAACCGGGCTCGAAGAGCGCTCAACTTGCCACACCGTCTCATATCGGAAGGCTATCTACCTTATTTCCACATGTACCGGTATCACCGTATCAGCCGTCCTAAATTGCAGGCGCTATTTCGCATGGCAAGGCGTGGGGGAAGCAGCAAGCTGTATCTGCCAGATGAATAATGGAAGTCAATTATTATTGCGCGCGGCTGGCAGATGGTTGGTTCAATCTTTGGTGGGGCGCATCGCTGGCGAGGCGGGATTACGGAATTGGTGAGACCTTCGGGGAGATTGGGAGAGACATACAACAGCGGGCATGGCGAGCGATAATACTTTGGCTGAATAATGTGGAGTAGTTACCTCGTTCTAGAATACTGGTACTCTAGTCCCGTACCGCGGATCTCTTTCACTATGGAAGGTTCACCGTTCCATTCTGTCTTTGCTGGCCGTTTTTAGATCTTTTCCGTCTCGTGAGTCCCTGGCTGGCGAATGGATTTCCCACTCTTCCCACTGTTTCCACTCCTCCGCCCCTCAAAAAAGAGGGGTACACGAGATAGATGCGATGCGGCCAGGGGATGCGCCGTCGCAAAGAATCTGTCGGACCAAGCGAGGCCGTATGCAGCTAGACGCCCTTCTCTGTCACTTTCGGTGTTCCACGTTCCAACAGGGCTGGCTGTGTGATCGCCGCCAGGGATGATCGAGCTGCCCTCGTTGCGAGATCAACTGTAACTAGAGTTTGTACCGCCGCCGCCATCACCAATGTTGGAGGGGTGCATATATCAACGCCGTCTGCATGATTTGCCCTCCCTTTTCTTCTTCTTCTCCTGATCCCTTTTTATATACCAGCCGCTGGATCGACTCGTGCTCGTTCCGTTAACTCCTCAGTTCCGTTTACATTCGTTTCTTCTTATTCTGCTGCTGTGCGGTCTTTCAATCTCTTTCAACATACCATCTTATCCACCATGTCGCCCTACATGGTATCGCCTTCTTCGTCGGCTTCGTCGGCTTCGTCGTGCCCACAGCTCGAGTCTGCACATTCGTTGGTCCCCCCAGTGAACGAGGAACGTCCATTGGCTGACATCAATCGTGAAGCCGAGATCAAATCCTCCAAGAAATCGCAACCCGTCGGGGAATCATCCGGGAAATGTACGTTTCCATCCTCGATGACCTCCGGTGGACGGACAATGCTTACCCATCGTAGAGAAACGGAATACATAGCCTGGTCTCTTCCAAGTCTCCGATAGCCTCGTCTAAAGGTCCCTCCTTGGAGCCACGTGCAAAAGCTCGCAGGGTCCGCGTGAACCTGATAGCGCTCTGTTCTCCGGGCTCGCCGATATTCTCCGGAAAGCACTCGCACTTCACCGCCACCGTCGAAACTCGCTGCGTACGGGACATCAAACGCCCACATTCGTGGAAGATCTACGGTGTCGAGTGCGGACAGGGCGTGACGGCGCACTACGTGCGGATACAACTTGCGGACGATTGTATGACTATAACCACCGCCCTTTGGGTGAAGTTCCGCGCTGACGCCCCCCGTAGCCCAGGACAGTCAATTCCGCACACTCGTCATCCTTCTCGACTCGATCTCCGCGAAGCGTCACGTAGCGCTATCCAACATCCACCCGTTCGGCCTCGGCGTCGACTTCGGCGTGCCTTCGCCGCACTCTAGCAACCGCATCTACCTCATCACGCACTGCGCCAAGACCACGCCGTACCTGCGCAAGGTCACCGTCGACTTCGAGATCTTCCTCGACCAGGAGTGGAAGCGCATCGACCTCAAGGTCGACCGCGTCGGCTTCGCTGTGTACAAGTCCGCGTCGCGCACCAACATCCTGCTGGCCAACGGCCCCGAGGAGATCCACTTCGCCCACGACCCGTATGTGCGCTTCGCGCGCATGACGCTGAGGTTCGGCGAGCGCCCTGAGCGCACGTATATCGACATCGAGGACGATGGGAGGATGAAGGAGAAGCCCTGCCATGTCACGCGCACGAGGAAGGGCAGCATTGTGCACCTCCCAAAAGTCCGCGTGCGGACCTGCGACGGCGAAGGCACAACCAGACAGCCCATCAGCACGATGACGCGGCTGATCTTCAGCGAGAAGGATGGGATGCCGTGGGCGCGGTCGGGGGTGGCGGCCGCGGCCGAGGCGGAGAAGATGGCGAGTCTTATACGGAAAACGGCACGGCTGGCCGCGAAGAATCCGATCGGCGTCAAGGCCGCAGTGCAGGACGGCCACATCTTCTCCATGAGCATGAAGGGCGTCATCGCCGACAAGGGCTACACCGTCCGTAACGTCGACGACGGGTTCTCATTCCAGGCGGACATCCGGGACAAGTTCCGGGGCTGCGTCGTCTACGCCGTGCCCAGTCTCCGCGCGGGCACGAACGGGATCGTGCTCATCTCGCACTCCCTCGACGGCGAGGCCGTCCTGCGCCAGCACATCGACAACCCCGTGCATCTCATTAGCAGCATCACCGAGAGCGGCTTCATGGTGCCGTGCAACAGCACGCTCATCCGCGCGCGCGACAACAGCCGCAGCATGGGCAAGGGCAACATCCGCTACTTCTTCAACTACGGCGGCGCCGACGCCGGCGTCCTGGTCGAAAAGCTGGTCAAGCTCGTCACCGCCCTCGACGCCACAAAGCTGCCGGAGCTCACTACGCACCTCGCACAGGAACTCGAGCGGCGGGAACAACACGCCTCCTCGCGCCGCTCCCCTCCTCCCCCGTCGCCGTACGGCCACGCAAGAACCCCATCCAACGTTTCCACCTCTTCCACCTCGTCCACCTCGTCAGCATACTCCAACCTCTCGAACACGTCATCAGCCAGCAACGTCAGTTGTTCTTCCACCTCGTCCTCGCTCTCCACCACCTCCTCCGCGGCACGGGAACCCAGCGACTGGGACATCTGCGAAGACGCCGTCTTCGACGACGCAGAGCCGGCGCGTAGCCTTCGGATCTCGGTCGCGCCGGAGGGGATCAAGGCCCCGCGCAAGAGGAATCAGATGGCGCGCGCAAAGACGGCATATACCGCCAGGCTCACTAGGGAGGTTGCCATAGAGGTCGGAGATCGCGTTGTGGTCCTGTTTAGGAATAAGAATTGGAGCTTCGTGAGGAGGCTCGATGGCGAGAATGAGGAGTGGGAGGAGGGTGAGGAGCGGGAGAGAGAGGGGTGGGTGCCGACGGGTTTTTTGGAAATGCTTTGAGCTGTGAGGTCCTGGGGAACGGAGGAACGGACGGCGGATGGGTTGCACACGCACACACAACCTTTTTCCTTTGGTTTTTCATTTGTTTTTTCATATAAGGTCTACATATGGTGGTGATGACGGCTATGGAGGTGGCGCGCGGGGTTTTCTGGGGTTTTACTGCAATTGGGTTGTTTTTGAGCTTCGCTGGCGATCGTGGTGTTTTGAAATATGCTTCTACCTTTTTCCTTGGGTCGGCCTCTCCACATACTGGTTCTCATACTTTTTTCTTTGTCTTTCGCTTCTTCCATTTGTGTACTTATGTATGTACATACAATTTGTGTCCAGGCTGTGCCTGTGTTTCCCCCCACTATCACGATTCACTATCACCATGATTATCACTATCTCTATCTCTATTATACGGTAAATACGGTATATGCAGACCACGGTGTATAAAGAGCGGACTGGCTGGCTCCTGTTTTCTTTGCATGATACTCCATTTATAAACCAGCCATATTGGCTCACCCATGGGCCATATTGGTTCCCGTCTTTGTCCACCCATGGGCCATATTGGTTCCCGTCTTTGTCCACCTCGTCGCCTCGACGTAGAGTACGGTGGAGTATAGTACGGTAGGTACCTTGGAAGTTGATCGCGAAGAAATCCCACGTGCGGAGTTACCAATCCGGGACCAATCCGGGTATTCAGACCCATCCATGATCCATCCATCCATCCATCCATCCCCACCACACCTGGCACATCATACCAAATCCCAACCTCAGGACTGAAGTCTGAGAGAAGCAACCGTCTTGGCACAAACCCCCAAACCGGCAGCTCAACCAAACCGGCATCTCCTCCCTCGCCGCCAACTGGGGGGAAAAACTTTGAAGGTGAAGTCTGAAGATGAGACAGTGTCATGGTGGGGATGCACGAAACTGTATGAGAGTGTGCATCATGTGCATCATGTGCATCATCTGCATCATGTGTATGCATGAGACTGCATCAGACTGTGTGAGAGTGCCCGAGACTAAACATGAAACCGTGGTGGCAGCGTGGGGGTGTGTAACACTGGGCAGACGGCGGTGGGCGCTGGGTGCGGGGTGCTGAGGACATTCCGGAGGTCGCTGGGGCTTCGGGAGCGCAGTGACTCGCGAGGGGCGAGGGGCGAGTGGCGGAAGCCGGGGATCTGCGGAATCCGAGCGGCGGACGGCGGAGGCCGGAGGGTGTCTTCGCGTGGAGGGGGCATGAAGCCGAGTTATCGCGTGTGCTCGACACACGGAATACGAGAGCTAACACGGCGGCCGGAGGGGGGACGGCGGGCTCGGGCTCGTACATACGGCGGCACTGGGGCAGTGGCAGGCAGCGGTTGGCCCTGCTAGGCTGCTACATAGGAACTGTCGTTCGTGAGAAAGGTGCGATCGATTAAGCGCTACAGAACTATCATATATACCCGCATTTCCCGAAATTGATGGATAGCACGGTGGAGTCCTGTCTCCACAGCTCTGTATATGTATTAAATATGTACAAGTGACAAGAGGAAAAGCACAGCGGGGGCTTTGCCGGAAACTTCAAACAAGGAAACAAGGTATCAACTCTCAGCCCAATGCTCATGCCCATTAACGAGACAGATAAGTCATAAGCGCTTTCTTGACATGGATCTTCCTCCTATCATTCTCCGCCTCGGCCATCTGCAACCGCAGCCTGGCCAAGCTATCCCGTGCCCTGTTTTCCTCGACACGCAAAGCCTCTTGGTGTCTGTGCTCCTCCATTTGTATGCGGTACGCCAGCTCCTCCGCTACACGCGCCTTTTCCCATTCAAATCTCTCCTTCTCCAGCGCAAGACTCTGCCGTCTCGCCTCGGTTGACGCCAGGGCGCGGTAGGTTGGTGAAGTCTTCGCCTGCGCGGTTGATACAGTAGCTCGATCAGCTGGACCGCCCGCAGATACCTCCGCCTGCGCGCTTCGCGCATTATCTTGATCGACTGGAGGAGCCCTCGCTTGCTCAACTCGAGGAACGCTCGCGTGCCCGATTCGAGCCATGACTTGAGCCATGGCTTGATCAGCTGGAGGAGCTCTAGCCTGTCTAATTGGCCTGAATCCTCCTCCGCCGCTCGTCTCCTCCCACTATGTATTCCAATAAAACGCTAAATTCCACACCGGTAGTCACGTTAACAAACCTTTCAACCGACAGGGCGTTGCTATTCGCCAACTTTTCTTCCTTCGTGGACGGTGGACTCAAAACCCGAGAGCCCTGGTGATGGACGGACAGTCCGGTGACCCAGATACATACATACCAACAGTTGTCAGTTATGTACACTTCGTTGGATCACGCATCTTCCTCGCCCAAGGCCACCCACAAAACCTCTCACCGCCCTCCTCTGTCGACCAAGACGCCAAACTCCTTGCTTCCGGCAGGCTGCAGCATCTGTCGACGAGTCACGAGACTAGATCACCAATTTCGACGCGACTTGCACAGTGAGGTTGCACTACAGGAAGGACTGAACTCCGCAGTTGAGGAATCCACGTGATTGTGTGGACAATGGTGTATGGTTACTAGTGTTCGAGACGAGCGGTACGCCGTGATCGCCTCTCGGTCTGTCGCTTCGCATTCCCGCGGCGCATTGTGGTCTCGGCATTGGACTGACAGGGAACGGGAAACGGGTGACAGAAATTCGAATTCGAAGTTGAAACTGGTACCCGTCACCCGAACCACACGCTTTAACGAATCATGAATGATGGATAAATCTAAATTCCAGGGCAAGGAAGGAAGAGGGCGAAGAGGAGGATAGTCTCAAGGGCCTAAAGCCTAAAGGTGCTAATGCTCGCCAGTCGCGACTACGCTCGGCCAAATAATAAGCCGGAGGGGCATTGTTCGTGGCAAAAAAGGTCCGTTCTCGGTTTGGGGAGAAGGAGTCGGCACGGGAGGAGCAAGTTCCACAACCGCGAGACTCGGGAGGATGTCCTTTTCGCAGAACCGCAGCCTACGACCATCCCGCCAGTTGCCAGAACCGACGCCGAACCGGCACAGCGGCGCACTCGTACACAATAGCCACTCGGGGATCCCACTGCTGGAGAAGCCGACTAGAGATCAGACCATATACGGGCAGACTACCGGTATGTACCCTCTCTTGTCTACGGTATCCTTGGCTCATCCCTAACTCAATGGCTCATCCTTGAACTCGGTCGTGTGAACCCCGAGGCTGGAGCGAAATATCTGGTTACCTAGGTAGTTGAGGAGTTAGGACACTGCTCCATAGACCATTCCCGACCCATGGTCGTGCAGGATCTCAAATCTCGATCCTTGGTCCTTGGTCAAGTAAACTGGCTGATCGCAGAGCAGATCTTTCGAACAAATGAAACTGGTTACTGGCCATCTAATCGACTCCCCGGGTCTGAATACCACCGAGTAGTTATGGGATGATTCCAAGGTACCGGACCCCGGTAGAGCAGACCCAGAGTCCCAGAACCAGGCCCCGAGTACTGGGTACACTAGCTATTTACATACCACGTATGAGTCCGGATTCCAGAATGGTCGGGTAGAGATTACAAGTGTTAAAGGGATACTTTTGGAGGAGGAGGAGGAGTGGAGTGGAAACCAGCCGTTGTCGAGTCATCGTCGAGTCGTGATAGCTTCCAGCGTCGAGTTGAGCAGGTTCTTCGGAATGCTGCATGCGGGAAACAATAATATATGTGATGGTTAAAACGTAGAATGCACTTTTCGTACATACCGTACACTTGTATGTAGTTGGCCCAGGCGCTTCGCTGCTCTTATCCTAAGTAAAGTACTATCCTTATCCGACAATCAATTGTCTCACGAGAAAATCACTGACGAATCGCGAATCTCGAATCTCGAATCTCGCGATCAATGGGATCACTTTCACCGTTTCCCACCTCAGCCTCCAGGTCCCCAGTACATACAACGGGTATTCCCGTTCACATAGCGCGCGCTTTTGAGTGTTGAAACTCGGCAGTCTGACCTGCGTCTGCAGTGGCCAGAACAGTGAGTATCAGAGTATCAGAGCATGTAGGTGGGTATATATAATCCTCAAAGAACGTTCTCCTTGACGCCAGACCCTCTGCCACTGCAGTGCCGCCGCTATGCGGCGTCTGCTGTCTGCTGTCTTGTGTTTGCTGTTCCTGCGAGGCTGAGGTATTGCTAAGGGCACCTTACAGCTCATGCATGAAAGTTGAAAGTTGAACCCGTTATGCATCCCCCTTCAGCCACCAGTTCAGAATCCAGCCCCTACCTGAGGCTACGGCGCGAAATTCTGCAAGTCTAAAAAGAGAGTTATTTTTGGCGACTACTTACAGCATGTCAAAAATGAACGTCACATGTGGAATCTGGATTCTGGATTGCCGGACAATGCCGACGGCAAGTATTCTGTACGGTATATGTATCACGCGGCTATGTGAGGAGCGACTTGCGAAAGAGAGAGCGGAAATCCGCCACCGCCCGCCGGGACCCCGCTTTGTCTTTAGTGGCTGGGGGGACTCGGGAAGACGGCCTCGGGATTGATCACACGGAGTGCAACGGCTCAACGCCTCAGCGATGAGGAGGATGGACAGACGACACGGTGACGGACAGACGGCACGGTGACGGACAGACGGCACGGTGGCTTACGAGTAGCGTAGCTACCGCTCTCGACGCGAGACTCGAGAGTGCGTGGTAATATGTTATATAGGCGTAGATGTCAATATTCATGCCCGAGTCAATTATTCCTATCCTGTCCTGCCTCCAAAGTCAGCTCTATCTGTGTCCTCCACTGCTTGCGCTTCCGTTCCAATTCCCTAACCCAAATTCCAATCCCGTTACCAAATTCCAATCCCGTTACCAAATTCCAATCCGTTCCCAAATTCCAATCCCGTTACCGAATTCCAATCCCGTTCCCAAATTCCAATTCCGTTCCCAATCCCGTTCCCTCTCCGGCCGCCCATGTTCTAATTCACCAAGACAAAGACAAAGACACCTCGAATCAATACCAGACAAGAACAATCCGTTCAATCAACCCAATCAAAATTCCAATTCGTCATTAAGCCGTAAGCCCCTCCATGCGATCGCCGACAACCAAAGACTCCCGTAACGTTCGCTCGCTCGGACAAAAAGAAAAACAGTCGCTAGAGTAGAAGAAAGGAAATGTGGTTGCAGTAGGTATGTAGAGTAGAGTAAAGGGATGCCGTAACGCCAAAACAGACCGAAGAAGCCATTATCATCCGCTATGTGTCGTTGTTGGTAGGTAGTGGTAGTGGTAGTGGTAGTAAAGTAGTAGACAGGAGGAGTCGCGATTTTTGCCCGCCAGGGGATCTGCACCGGGAAGAGGAAAGTAAAGTAGAGTAGCGTAAAGTGGTAGTGTAGGGTAGTATAGTGTCGTGCGCGTTCAACTAGCAGCACCCGGGTGCTGGGTGCTGGATCTTTCCGCCTTCACCGACGGCGGCGGTCCTGTCCTAGGTACAGCAGTCACCAGTGCAACAGTTCCCACAGCACTCTCCGCAGCAATGGCAGCAGCTAGTGCAGCAGCCCGTGAACGCGTTGAACATCTCTCCGAGGCCCATGAGGATGCCGGCAAAACACACGTTGATCGCGTTGACGCAGTCGCCGCCGTTGGCCGTGTTGCCGCCGGCGCAGCACGCGAGACAGCTCCAGCTCTGGCAGTCCCAGTTCCCGTGCTGCTGGCTGCGCTGCTTCTGCTCGTCGCGCAGCTGCTCGTCGCCGCCGCCGCCCTTGACGTCGAATGAGTTGGTCACGCACATTTGCGGCTCCGCCGTGTACGAGACGTCGCCGGGGGTGGTCATGGTGTGTGGTTGGGGGCAGTCGACGGAACGGCTCGGCAGTGTGGTTGTTGGTGTGTCTGCTTGTATACCGGGGGTTGTGGGTGAGGGAGAATGGAAGTTCGATGGGTTCGCGGAGAAGGGCTTGGTGGTGGTTGTGGTAGAGCTGGCGGCTGGTGAAGATGGAGATTGCGACGGCTTGGGGGGTAGGGGGATGTAGGGTAGTTGGCGGGACGAGTAACGGTAAAAGTGTTGGCGGATGAGTAAGGGTAAATCGATGTCTCCCCCTCCTCCTCCAGCTGCTGCAACTCTACTCCTCCACCACCCCTTCGACGTTCAAACTTCGGAGTGCCCTCCATTTCCATGCATTCGCAAGCGAATCGAGCGTGTGCCGGAATCAGCCAAGCAATTGGTTAAAAGACTAGCGCTGACCGATGCAGGTGCACAGCCCCACCGACTTTTTTTTTGCTTTCTCGGGAGCGAAACAACCTTCTTCACGGCATCGAATCGAACCATCGGCCACTCACTCACTACTTTCTAACATCCCCACCAGCAAACCCACCCCACCCAATACAAAACCCCCATCTGCATCCGTTCACCGTCACCCCCGTTCACCCCCTCCACACGCCTTACACATCCGCGTCGGGCCTGCCTGCCACCTGCCACCTGCCACCTGCCACCTGCCACCTGCCACCCTCCCCATACGCACAAATGTCCTCCTCCCTCGACCTCGACGAGGAGCTCTCCATCTACGACCAGATTGAAATCGAAGACATGAGCTTCGACGCGACCCTGCAGCTGTACACGTACCCGTGCCCGTGTGGCGACCGCTTCGAGATCCTCCTCGACGACCTTCGCGACGGCCAGCAAATCGCCGTCTGCCCCTCCTGCAGCCTCATGATCCAGGTCATCTTCGAACCTGTGCGTCCCCCTTCCTTACCCTCCGCCACCCCCTCCACCCTTCTCTTTTCCGCGCATAGGTAGAGTAGTACCTGCCGGAGGAGCACAAAGCCTGACGGAGAGGTGTGAATTTGCAGGAGGACCTTCCCGCCGCGCCCACCAACACAGGCACAAACACCACGGCTGTCACTGTCTAGGTCTGCTGCCGCTGGAGCACATCTGGGTGTTCGATGATGATGATGATGACGGGGATAAATAAGGTACATAGGACGGGTAGGGCTCTGAGGTTTGCTTTGGCTTTTTTTTGCAGGGAGGCGTTCGCGGAGTTATTTTTGGGTTCGGTCGGCGGGCGGCGGTTGGTATGTACCGGTATGAAGCCTTGAAGGCATGAGCTAGTACCGGTAGTGCTTTGTAGTCGGTCGGTCGACTGTGAAAAAAAAGCGATGGGGTGTTTGATCTTGGGGAAAGTTGGGGTATCTACTGTAGATAAGGTATCTTCGCCTGAGGGTTTTGGGTATTGCCATGGTACCGGTAGGCAGTACATAAGGAGGTACTTCTTACTACTTACCGTCCCGAGGCTGACACACAATGTCGTCAGCTACATACCGGCAGCCTACAGGTACCTACACACGAGCACATACGAAGTAAGTACTCTACTCCTACTACTCCATCGTCATGCACCACCATTCCCACCTCTATCGGATATCGCATCCACGCGGAGACTCTGCCGGAGACTCTACCGGAGACTCTGCCACTCAGAACTCTGGACAGTGAACTCACTGTTTGCACGTGGCAATGTTTGGTTCGACAGTCTTACCATCCGGCCAGTGCGTCTGGCCAGCACATGCGGGAAGATCGAGGCCTCAACTAGTGATCTATCCCATGGCCCCATTGGATGGCCATTTTTGGGACTTCCACGATTCTGCTGTGCTCATCTCATTGTGCGGGATGGGAGTGGAAGTTGGGGCTGGAGTGGAGCTGGAGTCTGGAGGTTGGAAAGCCAGTGGTCCAGTGGGCCAGTGGCGGATATCGTGACGGATATCGTGGCGCCGTGACGTTAAACGGCAGTTTTGCGGGGCTGTACTGGAGTCACTGGACGGGCTGGACTGGCGGGGGAAACAGCTCTGGACTGTGGAGGCTGGATGGCACATGAAAAGCGAAGTGAAAGCGAAACGGAGCAGTATGTCATCCGCTATCCGACGTTTCCGTCGCTTTGAGCGTCTCTCTTTGGACTCTTCGGCGCTGCAGACCTGCGGACCTGCAGTGATCTCGGGGAGTCGGGGGCGGAGCAAGTTGCGACGAAGTGCTGGTGTCCAATGAATGCCGTACCTACTCTACTCGTAGATAGAGTGTGTTGCGCGTGTGACGATGCTGAGCAGTGAGGTGTGGAGTGCGGTAACGAGTTACGGGGGAGTGCGTTCCTATCGTCAAGTGAGTGTCTACATAAGCTTTATGTGTACTATGGTAGCATTGGTAGGTAGAGTGGTTATCCCTGTCGTGATCGTCCCAGCAACCAACCATCCTTCTTTCCTTCAGGCCTCAGGCTTCAGCTTTCCGGGCTTGGGAAGTTGTAGAGTGGGATCATCACCTAGTGAATACGACGAACGGCACGTGCTCGCCACTTTCCCATCCCGAACATGGTCATGAACGAACCCCGCAGTTCACAGCCCTACGCCAGTAACGCCACCGCCCCCAACATCTCAGCTTTTGTCCGAGTTGACAACTTGGCATTTCAAGTTTCAAGTTTCGACGCTACTCTACAGGCGCTGAATGAAGGCATGGCAGCGGGATCGGCGATCTTTTGGATCGACAATCGTCTTGTACCTACCCCGCGACATAACCCCGGGCGACACAATCCCGCGCCTCCGGAGCCTGCGGAAGCCGCTCACCAATCCTCCATGCCGCCGGCCGTTGCCATAGCCACTCACGCTTCTCAGGCTCTCAGCACGCCGGCGCTGGCAGTTGTGGTATGTAACGGTAGTTAGCTCAGCCTGGTGTGCGGTATGCGGTATGCGGTATGCAATCGTATGATGGTACCTACAGGATTGACGCACGCGGCGGCGCACACGCGCGATATGCCTATTTTAGATTTTAGAAACCTCGGTGCACCTCCGATACGGCGCTGGGGAAGGAGCTTCACGTCACGACTCACTGGTGGTTCCAGTCGATACTCTACAGGGGCTGACACGATGATGCGCGAATGTGCTTCTAGAAGCTTAGGACATACTGGCTGGGGACCTGGGGTAGGTACGCCGGAGATATACTCAAATCTAGTCTTAGGGCGAAGCTCGCTCACTCGCGGCTTCCACTCAATGTGCGAAGAGATCTGGTGGTTATTGTTGGACGCCCCGGTGCCAGTGGAGGTCTAGACTTCGAAGTTTGCGGATGGCAACACCTCTTCCTTCCTTCCTTCTGTGTGTCCGAATCTGAAATGTACCTGTATACCTGCAGGCTGTAGCCATGCGAGTACTGGTCAGTGGTGCCAACATGGCCCCCAAAAACGATCTACCTAGAGCACACTCCATCCATCCATGGTAGGTCCTTCATGTAACCTCACTCGCTCACTAACTTACTATTCGCTCAGATCGTGAATCGCACAGCCTGGAAACAAGCACCCACGACAGTCAACCGGCTGCCGGGCCCGGGTCAGAGTCACCATCTACCTACACGTATGCGCAAGCGGCCCCAGCCGGAAGTACGCAAACCAGGCACGTAAGCACATCGCCGCCCTCGCCGGAGATTGCCATGGAGATCAGATGGTGCCCGGCACAGGGCAAAGGCGTCCCCGACTTCCCCGGAAAAGAGAAGGCTGGCGGACGGGCCAAGCTGGCTGCCAATAATCCCACCGAGAGCGGAGTCTGAGTGGCAGGCCCTGCTACCTGAAGGCTGAAGCGCGGTGGCTGAGTGGAAAGAGGTCAAGGCATGCACCGACAGCAAAGTCACCAGCAAGAAGTACCGGCACAGCCTCACCTCTAGCACTTCCAGCACCTCCAGTGGACGAAGATCCACCCTGAAGCACGCCGCGCGGTGCGGATGTTGCCGTTACAGGACCCAGACCCAGACCCAGACCCGGGAGCAACTCTTCAAATGCTGCCCTGAATGGGAGAGCCAGCTGAAGATTTCGTGGGCGGAGGACGTAAGGCTCGGAAGGAGACGGGGAGGCAATGATCGCTTCGAGATCTGAGACTTCTCCGGCGTTCGCAGACGGACGGTGCAGACAGGTCATCTTGGGCTTTGTCGCCACCACTGGATCACTGGTGTGGGCAGGTGGAGATGAGGCGAGCGAAAGAGGAGGACGCTGAGCTTGAGGTGCCGGGGTGCCGAGGTCACTCCCGCTGTTCCTCCCCGCAACTTCTTTCATGGCATCTTGTGACGAAGAAGCAGAGGGCGTCGAGGCGGCGAGACGGAGTGGAAAGCGGAGCTTGCGGAAACGGTGTGCGGGTGTGTATATATCGCCATGATCTAGATAGGTCTGTAGGTTGCATGAAATCAATGATTAAACCAAAAAAAACCTAGACACGAGCATCAACACTGCCCCAAGCCACAGACGGAGAGATCTGGTGATTCACTTCTGGGCAAATCACCAAACAAGGCTTCAACCGGGGTATCAGCCTCCCCTCACCTCATCGCTTAGAATAGTCATTAGTCAATTCAGCATGCTCCCCAAATTTTGTCGCGCACCGTAGACTGAGGTCTGATGATGCAGCTGACTACCGACGCCAGCTTGTCGGTTATTTTCGGTGGGAGGCGAGCGATGTGCGGTGGAGTAGCGGGAGCGGGACGGTAGCGGGATTCTATGGCCCACGTTGACGGTTGCGGAAACCAAAGGAGCCGGGAGCAGGCGGGAAGCTGCGCTGTGAGACATAGCCGAGTATGTATGTTCTGTATCTAGGCGGCAGAGCTATCGACCCGGACTGAAGCGCGCTCGGATTTATTCCGCCTGGACCCACGCGAACGAGTCATTTTCTGTGGAGCGCTGCCGGATCTTCCGACAACAGAGACCAGAGCACCCCCGACTCTGAGTGATTTGACCTGTAGTTACCTCATATCATAGGCGGCGAAATTATGCGGCTCCCACCAAGGCCTTCGCGCTAGTTCTACTCATAGATCGATAAGGGCATACCCTCTACTAACTGAGGAAAACGGTAGCGCGGATCGACGTGGATACCCATCTTTAAGACCCACTCGCTCGTCTCCTCTTTCTCTTCTTCTCTATCCTCTACTTTTCTACTCCCTTCTCTTCTCCTCCACAATTTCTCGCATCCATCTCACACACATTCCCCTGATCGTAAGTCGTCCTTGCTTGCTTACATGATATATTCCCTTCCCCCCCCCAACCAGCTCAATGATGACCTGTTTACATTTCCGATGTCTACGAGACTTTGTCGATACACTTCTTCTCCGATGAGACTGAAAAATATTGCTTGGATGCTTCCTACTTTGATCGGTCAAGCGAACTTTACTGACGCAGTCTGCAGCTTACTAGGACGACATCGGATGAGGGAACTCAGGCATGGCCAACGAGGGAGATTGTGTAAGTTGTCCTTGCTTACCTACATGATATATTCCCTTCCCTCCCCCAATCAACTCAGGATGAGAACTTTTGTAGTACGGAAGTCCTTCGGGACTCTGACGACTCAAACTGTAGTCTAATGAGACTGACAAACATTGCCTGGATGCTTCCTGCTTTGACCTGTCGAGCGAACTTTAATGACGCAGTCTGCAGCTTACTAGGACGAATACCGGATGGGGGACTCAAGCATGGAAAACGAGGGAGATTATGTAAGTTATTCATGTTGCTTGTTTGATTTATTCCCTTCCCTTCCCCAATCAACTCAGGATGAGAAATGTATAGTACGCCAGTCCTCCGGGACTCTGACGACTCGAACTGTAGTCTGATAATGTTGATCGATATACGCTGGTGTTTGCTTTGTTTAATCGGTTGAAAGGATTTTACTAACACACGGTACTGCTCATCGCCAGATAATTTCTCGCTCGCCTGGACAGGTCGTTCCTGTATTATGAGTATTACTCGATATGTTTACATTATTCCCATCCTCTGCCATCTACCTCATGGATGATCAACCGATCTAGGTACGCGGTCCTGGCGACAAATCTGCGATTCCGGCAAGACTGGTAAACATACCTCGATCACTCCTGGTGCACCATGGCGAGAAATCTAAAGATATGAAACTCACTCTCTAGGCTACGACCAAATATGCGCAGCAACGATCGGCTTCCTTTAGAACGTAAGTCGTTCGTCGCTTTCCTCCCTCCTCCTCCTCTGAGCCGGAACTCAATGATGAATAAACGTATGCGCTGAGGTCTTCGTGACCATGAAGCAAACCTATCGAACTGATGAGACGGCTGCCAACAATGAATTTTTCTGATTTGAATAGTCAAGAACTTCGCTGACATGAGGAGTTCGCTTTCCAGGCCAGCAACCGGGTTTCTCGAGTACCGCCGTCTTCGTGGGACCTACAACACTCTTTTGAAAGGTAATTCACTTTCCACCCTCTCTCATCACCTACCTACAGAACTCAAGGATGATTTGCAATCTACACCGAGGTCTTCGCGACCATGAAGTAAACCTACCGAACTGAAGAGACTGGCTACCAAAATGATTTTTCCCGACTTGATACGCCGAAGATTTTACTGACGCTCGTGCGATCTATCAAGGAATGACCCGGCTCGGTATGCCCGAATCACATCGCCTTCGCAGAATCTTCAGCATCGTTTTCAAGGTAATCCTCCTCCGTTCCACCCTCTCCCATCACCTACAGATCTTAAGGATGATTTGGAAAGTTGCACTGAGGTCTTCATGACCATGAAGCAAACCTACCGAACTGATGAGACGGCTGCCAACAATGACTTTCCTACCTAGTTTGAATGGTCAAGAAATTCGCTGACATGAGGAATTTATTTTCTAGGCTGACCTAGTGTGTTCAAATAACTGCGCCTTCGCAAAATCCACAGCATCCTTTCGGAAGGTAATCCGCCTCCCATCCAAATTCCGCCCTCTCCAATCACCCACAGATCTCAAGGATGATTTGCAATCTACACCGAGGTCTACGTGACCATGAAGTAAACCTACCGATCTGAAGAGACTGGCCACCGCAATAATTTTTCCTGGTTTGAATGGTCAAGAACGTCGCTGACATGAGAAATTCCGTTTCCAGGCCAGCATCCCGGTGCACTCGAGTACCGGCGCCTTCGCGGAATGCACAGCATCCGTTCCAAAGGTAATCCGCCTCCCTTCCAGCTTACGCCCTCTCCCATCACCTAAAGGTCTTAAGGATGATTTGAAAAGTTGCATTGAGGTCTTCGGGGCCATGAAATAAACCTATCGAACTGATGAGACGACTGCCAACAATGATGTTTCCCGATTTATCATGCCGAAGACTTCACTGACATGAGGAGTTCACTTTGCAGGCCAGTATCCGGGTTGCTCGAACAACGGCGCCTTCGCAGAATCCACAGCATCCGTTCCGAAGGTAATCCGTCTTTGTTCCGCCCTATCCCGTCACCTACACATCTCGAGGATGATTTGCAATCTACACCGAGGTCTACCTGACCATGAAGTAACAAACTTACCAACTGATGAGACGACTGCCAAAATGATTTCCCCCGATTTACTACCTACGCCGAAGATTTCACTGACGCTCTCGCGATCTCTCCAGGAAGGACCCGACCCGACTATCGCGGTGATCCAGGGCAGCGCACCGGGACGCAGATCGCCTCCACCACTACCATCACCACCGCCAACCGAACCTTGGTCTGAAGGCTGGCAAAACAGCCAACTGAGTGGGGTAAGCCGTCTTTGATTTATCATTGACATACTCACATTCCAATTCCCGCTTTTTTCTTCCTAGGATGGGTTAGTTTAGGTACTGAAGTCTACACGACCGGATGACCTTGGAATGAATCTGAAGAGATGAAACCAGTTTTTCTGTCGCATATATTTTGTGGTCTATGCTGACGTGGGCTGCGCGGATTTTTACCATAGATCTCGAATGGGCTGATGATGAGGCGCATACGGATCGAAGAGTTCGGCCGGATTATACACCCATTGCTTCTCCTTTCCGTCCGAACCGTCGGAAGCCTAACTTCACTGACTCAATCTTCAAAGTTCAAACCACAAGTTCGAGATGCAGGACGAACAGGACATTCAGTCATTGTGTAGCGTAAGTTAACTGAACTAAGCCATCCACCCCGTCTCTAGCTCACCCTCCATCCAACCCCCCAATCCCTCCCCTAATCCCAGAACTCAAGAATTAATATTCGAATCTCCGAATCCTGACGAAAATTCATCAGTATGAAGCGTTCTATCTACATTCCTACTATATTACCTCTGCAGCCGATTGTATCACGGGAGGTTTGCTAACCTGTATGCCCCCCGATGGGCGGGATGATGTGTAGAAAAGACAGTATAAAACCTACCCATACACCCATCCGCCAGACAAGCTGCATTCGCGCAAGCTCAACTGTTCAAATAAGCCACCCACCTGCCCCGTCTCGAGCTCACCCCTCCGATCCCTTCCATCCCAGAACTCAAGGATTAACAACTGGTTTTTCGGAATCCTGACGAAGATTCAATGTTCATCGCTATGAAGAGTCCAATCCACATGCCTACTTCACCGCTTTCCCAGCCCCATCTGTCGTAGAAATTAGCTAACCCGTATGCCCTGGTTGGCGGGATGGTGTGTAGGAAAGACGAGTACAAAACCTACCCATACGCCAAACAGTCAAACAGTCAAACAAGCTGGATTCCTCTAAGTTCAAGTAAGTCAGCTACTACGGTAGTACCTGTCCAGTCTCACCCCCCTCACCCATCCAATCCCATCCCAGAACTCAAGGATTAAAAGTAATTGTCCCGAATCCTGACGAAGATTCATTACTGAAGAGTTCCCTTACTACACTGCCTACTACACCGCCTTCCTAGCGTGAATCTGTGGGGAAGTTTGCTAACCTGGTATGATATCTAGGAAGCACGAAGACGAAACCCCGCAGCAATAGGATATCTCGCCGGAGATGGGGACCGGTGGTGACATGAGGTTTTTGGACTTGGTGCGTGAAGCTGCCCCTTCAGTGCGCGCGTCGTATCGGGATTTGGAACTATCGTTTACGTCGTGTGCAGTGGCCGTGTGCAGTGGCCGTGTGCAGTGGCTGTGAAATCACGTCTACGAGGGTGAGGCTGGCTGCAACCACTTTACTTCCGTCCAGTTCGGGTTGGGGGACTGGTACTCGGAGCAGCTCAGCGTAACACTCACCCACAAACCGTCATTCGGACGGCGAGTGATATATGGGTACTATCTAGTGTCGATCACGTGGTCTTCTGACTGTGTGCGCAAGTGCCAAGTGCAGGTCTTCGGGCCATGGGGTACCGTATCGAAGGGCTATTTGGAGAATCGTGCGGGGCGCATAGCTTACATACGGGTATCCGTTGCATCTACATATTACTGTGTACTGATGATATCCTTCCCACCTCGCAAAATTATGGCTTTACTTCGACGAGTTATTCACACCCAGTCCGCTCACCCCGTGTACGTGCAGCCGTAATCGTCGTGTTCCGTTCGATCACATCACCACATCACCACATCAGTCGCCCAGGTATGTCTCCAGACTCCCACACTCGTGAGTCGTGCGGACCCACCGCGCACATCACACGTGCTCCGCCTCCCTCTCCGCGCCCACCCATGCGCCCACCATCCATACTTATGCACAGAAGCGAAAGTCCAAACAGCCGAAGATGAAGATGAAGATGAAGAAACCCATAATTAAAAAATACATAGCGATCTATCTATCCCCCCTCGGCCACACAAGCAGTAGGGAACGAACGAAGAGGAGGAGCAGATGGAAGGAAGGAAAGAAAGCTTAGAGTATCATCAACCATGAGTCTAAGCCGAAATAAAAAAAAAGAACATAAACAAAAACTCCCCAACCACCACCGCCAACCAACCAACCAACCACCGGCACCCGCATCCACGGACCACCGCCCTCTCGAAGAAAAGCAGAAACACCCCATCCTGTCTAAACCTCCCTTCCGCCTATTCCGCGGGAGTGCCCGGTCCCTAGACGTTGGTGGGCACGCTCGGTGGTGGTGGTGGCGGTCTAGCCTGGTACCCATTTTCCTGAGCGGCGGAGCCCTCCTTCGGCTCGGCACCGTCCTCGGCGGTCTGCTCATCTGCCTTCGCGATAGCCGAGAAGGCGGGGTTGGGCGCGTAATCGGGGACGTTGCTTCTTGCCGAGGACGTGGGTGACCGGCCAGCAAGTCGCTGCTTCTTTTCCTCCAGCAGCTTTTCGGCCTGCTTTATCCGCGCTTCGAGGAGCGCAAGCTCCGAGTTTTGGTACGAGACGCTTTGCTTTCTGCGCTTGTTAGCTAGGCGTGCGCAAAGAGGGATGGCGCGGGGGCGGGAAATTGCCGTGGAACGAGATGGCGGGAAACCAGTGACAGGGGGGAGATCGCGCGGCGGGGAGGACGCGGGGGAAACAAAAAAAGGGGTATCTATGCGCTCCCATCGGCCGAGAGCTCGCCACAACACGAAAATCAAGAGAACTCGCGCAACTCACTTCCGACTAACACTCTGGTCGAGCTTGTCGAGCTGGTCGTCGAGCAGGAAAATATCATTGAGCTGATTCGCGAAAGCACGCGCAAGAGTCCTGGCTCCCGGCCTCCGTTAGCTCCACGATCGGGTAGGTACTCGGTAAGCGAGCGGGAGAGAGCAGGTAGACTCACGATGTTGGTCGAACTGATTTCGCGGCAGCCGCTCGGTACTCGAGATCTAATTCATGGTCGGAAGCCATTGTTTGCGTGGTTGATGTTGGTGCTTGTCGACGGTGTAGGTCGGGGGAGGTAGGTTAAGTAGCGGCGACAAGGAGGACGGTAGCTGCAGCTGACCGAGACGCGGGAGGTGACTTGCGGATACGTGCGGACGCGAGGACGAGGAATGAGGTTCGTTAATCGATCGCGTGTCGTTCGTTTCTTTCTGTGTTTTGGCTGTGACGCGGTCAGCTCCTCGCTTGTTCCTGGCGATAAAGATAAGAAGGTGACAGGGAGGTGGAGGGATGACTTGCTGAGGGGAGGGATGGCTGGGAGGGATGACTTGCTGAGGGGAAGGAGAGAGGGAGACTCACTCTTTTTCAGATCACGGCCGTCGATGCACTCGTTTCTCTGTTTCCGTACAACAACCTGTACGCAGAGCGGATGACACAAGGGCTGAGACGGGAATGCAGAGAGGGGGAGAGGTGGTGGGATGGCGGTTGGTTTGCGAGTAGAATACCCGGGCGTTCGACAATTTTGCTGGGGGCGGTTGAAAAGGAGTCGATGAGATGCTGGATAGTTGGAAGAAGTTGAAAGGAGGGAAGAGAGAGGGAGTCCGTCTCACCATCCTTCTATGTAGAGTACCTACTCTATCTCCCGCACCAGGGCCTTGCTGTAACTGTCCAGCGTAGATGCAGTATTCTACTGCACCCTTCTGTACGCTCTGCCACCCATTTTGCGATAACCCCTGGCTGCTGCCGTTGTGCTAAAGGCTCAAAAGAAATTGTGTCTTTCGAGACGGGGGCTGTGGTTGGACCTCCCTGTGGCATTGATAGTCGTCATGCAGAGCCGAGTCCGAGCGGTTAGTGGATGGGGTTGCGGCCAAGCCCGCCATGGAAAGTGTGGAGAACAAATGAGGCACCGCGGGCTGGCATGAGCTCGGTCTCAGGCATCTGTGGCGCGGCAGGATGAGACGAGAACCCTTGCCCATAGCCTGGAGATCTTGCGCCAGCGAGTGTATAGTAGACAGTACATATAGTACTGTACCCATCCCACCAGTGGCCTTCACCTTGGGAGCAGCACTTCCAGCCTTCAGTCGAATAAGTATCGTCCTCCTTGCCCACCGCGGAAGGCAGCTATTTCTCCGTCTCATAATTGTCCATTCTTCATACTGCTGTGTTGGTGGAGATGCTGACCAGCTGCTGAAATCCCTCAGCTGAGCCACAACGAAACAGCCGGTCATGTCCGCATGAGCTCGCGCACGCCGAAAAATCCACCGTTCGTTCGTCTCGAGGGCATGGCAGAAGTTGGCAGAGGCGTTTATACGGGAAACATTTTGATAACTCTCCATGAGTGACGAATTTGGATATCAGGTGCGCTGGTTCGGCCCATTTAGCTTGTTCCGTCCATTGATGATCGCGGTGCACAGTCAGCGGAAGACACACAGCCCCAGCCTCCAGCAGTGTCTATGTCAGTACATAGTCAGCGAAAGACACACAGTTCCAATAGTGTCGATGGTAGCGCATAGTTAGCGAAAGACACATAGCTCCAGCCTCTATCAGTGTCGATGGCAGCGCACAATCAGCGAAAGACACACAGCTTGAGCCTCCAGCAGTCTCGACGGCAGTATGGCAGTGCCGTCACTCAGAATCCAAGAATCCAAGAGCAGTGAGCCGACTGCAAGCCACCAATTGCACCGCGCGCGCGGATATACCGGCCAGAGAACCGTGGCCGCCTCAACACCAAAGCAGCGCCTTCACCTTCGCTTGGGAATTGGATGCGCGAGTCGCCGTCTGCTTCCGTCCATTGCGCAGCATTTCGTCAATCGTTGCCCTGGGAGCAAATGTGCCCCGCACGAATTCGAAACTCCGAGGGCCGGGCCGAAAATGCGCCCACTTCTTGCGAACTCAAGATTCGAGAGTGGCGCGGAAGAACTTGGCCCGCATCGGCTCGATGACCGGTGATTGCGAATGCGAATGCGAATGCGACGCACTTCCGGATCAGGTCGGACTTGGGCACCGGTGTGAAGGGTAGCGGAACTTGGTGCAGCTCGAAGCTCGAGTTTGTCGCTTCGGTGGTCGGTGGTTGATGGATGATATATCATCAATCTCAGGGAGCAGTGGGGTAAGTATCGGACCGCCGTCTGGTGCTGGGGGAGCAGTTGAAGGCGGATGGCTGGCTGGTGTTCAAAGAGCAGTTGAATACGGCTGGGTGCAGTTGTTTTCTTTAAGTGCGGGGTGCTGAATGGTGACAAGCAAAATATGGTTTGGGCGTTTGAGTTTCAACTTTCGAGAGTTCGATGACATTATCACTCGATTTCACGGGTCTTGGACGGCGAATAGGTACTCTACTGTACATATTATTCATTCAACCTCACAGTCTCCATTCAGTCTAGGTACTCTGTTGGACCGTCGATCTACTATGCCGGGTTCTGCTCGATACTGTACCGCTGCCACGGTTCTTTATTCGTAGCTGGAATTAGAAGAAGCTCGGCCGTGATCATGACGGGCAGCTGTCTGACGATAGCCATTAAGTTTTAGACGGCGGGGTGGCGGAGAGCGAAAGCTGGCCTGTACTCTGAATATCGGTCGGTAGGTGTGGTCACTGATCATCAGCCACCATAATATCATCTCCCCAGCCACAGTGGCATCGCGAGAGGTCTAGAGTACTAGTAGAGTATGCTCAACCTCAAAGTTCACTTTGGAGTACATCTAGATTCTAGGTACACATACCTCCTAGTTACACGATCCTCACCCAATCTCCACTGCCAAATACCTAGATTTAAAACTTCCATTCTACTTGCGACATCTAGGAAGGAATGATAGTTTGTGAATATGGGGCGCAGACACGTGCCTACCTGGAGTCTGGTACCTGGTCCCGGCATCGCCGTGAACCGCACAGAAACAAAATTACTCAGCAATCTCATTCTCACATCCATGATCCATCGGCTCGGAGCTGGGGCCTGGGGGGGATTCATCATTCGGAAATCTCGGCACACCGAATGAACCATGTCCCGGACTTGTGGTCTGGTCTCGGGGCCCCAGGTGGCACACCGTGGCAAGCTTTCGTTCCAAAAAGCCAGGACCAGACCCAGACGCGAGCGAAACAATGTGATGACGTTGCACATATAAAAGTTTGAGCCAAATCACCGAAGATTCCATAGCTTCAGCGGCAGAAAAGAAAGGAAAAGAAGAAGAAAGAAAGAAGTTTCGCCATTCTTCTTGAGCTTCAAGGTTTTCAGATACGTTACTCCTAGACATCTGGCAGATACTCTACTTGTTAAGCGCCACTGGAGCAAGGGGTGGGAGCCGAGCATCTCTTTTCTTTACGTAGCACCCCCCCTCGTCCAGAAGCCTCCGAGGAAACGAAACGAAACATCGTCTACCATACCCACACTCGTTAACTACCCCACACACACGGTCGCATCTCCCAGCTCCCAGCAGCACATCTGCGGGGTAACACCCAGTCCCACGCCGTCCACTTTCCGTATCCGACCTGCCAGCATCCAGCCGGGATCACGATCGCCTGTGTGTCCGCCCGTCTGTCTGTCTGTCCGTCAAACTGACTGCGTTCCTCCGCCCCCCAAGTCGTCGCAGATAACCCCCCTCCCACTACCACGATCCCCTCACTCTCACCCTCCTCCTAGCCATGCCTCGCGCGCCTTATCAGCCCGGCACCTCCGCCGAATCCGAGTACGTCCCATCGTCGGACAGCAGCGACGCCGTTCCGCGGACGACGCGCGCGCCGCCGGCGCCATGGAAGTACCACGAGAAGTGTTCGAACGACCACGTAGCGGCCGCGTGCAAGCAGCTCGGAGCCGCGGCGGCGGCGGCGGAGGCGGCGGCGGCGGCGGCGGCGGAGGGCAACAGCGAGTCGGAGGAGGAGGAGTGGCAGACGAGTCTGGCGGGGAACGTCGGCACGGTGGGGACGGGTGAGAGGGAGAGGGGTGGGAACGCTGGGAACGCTGGGAAGGGAAGTGTCATGGCGCCGAAGTGCATGAAGCGCGTGCTGGAGGAAGCGTGCGTTGCGCCCCCGTCCCCTCCCCACCCCGGACGCACACATCACATCCCATCCCACAACCCATCGCATCCCATCCATCCCATCCATCCCATCCCACAACCCACCCCTGCAAAACCCCGGAGCTATCTCGTTCACCAACTAGGTAACTAACGACAAGCGGCGTTTCCGCGTGTGTGTTTTTGCAGGAACTGGAAGCGAATGGCGATAATGCTGGCGATCAAGACGAGGCATAATGGCGTGCGGCGCCTAGACGGCGAGATCTCTTCGTTCTCGAAACCGAAGCCGGTCCACCGTGTCGATCCGCGCGACGAGCTGCTGCGCGAATTGGAGGCTATCAAGGCTGCTGGCGCGAGGAGGTAGATGGAGATGCCCGATGCCGATGTCGATTGCAATACCGGCGGTACATATTGTTTGGCGGTGGGCGGTACATATTGTTTGGCGGTGGGCGGTACATATTGTTTTTTGTTTCTTCTGTTCCTGATTCTTGGTTTTCGGCTACGGTGTACACAATTACATAGAGAAGCGCTGGGTTCTGGTTTTCTATTTTCTTTTTTGCTTGCTTGCGGTTGTTCTCCTAAGTAACTAGCAGGAGCGATGTGGATGGATGGCTTTGGATAGCGACATCTTGTGCGGGGTTATAGTTCGCGATAGTTAATGCCAATAAGTTATAACTACTAGTATTCTATGGCCTTATCGAACCTCGCTTCTTGCTTTTGCTGTGCCCGGCATGCCGTATTGCTACCGTACCTTAATTCACACCGTATCCGCCCCGCTGGATGATGGCACGAGGCAGATCGACAATCCATTCGGCGGTGGATAAGCTTCGGGTGCAGAATACCTACCATAATCATCAAATGCGGGGTCCCGGGAATCCCCTCATCGGATCCCCACGGTTCCTCACATACTTACCCACCCGCCCCCTGCTATCGGGTCCCGACTCCCGCCCTCGGGATGCGGCAGCATAAATAGTTAGGTATCTAGCTAGTAGCCAAATGCGTCCTTGCAAGTGTTTCCTTTTTCTTCCTTTGTTTTTCCCCCCGCACCGGATACGGCATCATACGGGATTTTCCAGGGATCCACTCCAGTCCAGGGCTACGGCCAAGACCTCCCGAGTCCCGACCGCACGCCGAGTCGCTGGCCCAGGTAGTCTAGTTAACGCCGATAGGCTCTACATAATTCAAATTCAAGCCTTGCAGAGCGACTCCAACTTCCAAGCCGCGGGGCTCAACGTCTGTATCTACTGTATATGCGTGAGCATGAACTCTCACTCGCTCATTATTGAAATCCGTTCAACTTCGCCAAGATTTCGAGCCCAGCCGTGTAGAAAGACCTTACATGGTAACGTGGAGATATTAGTGGTGGCTAAACTCTGCCGTGTCAGTCGGAAAAGCTGGGAA